TCTTGGTCAAGATTGGGCACTAAAGAGCTGGAATGCTGAACTAGAAACCAAGCAAGGTCAAGCCAGCAGCTTGGATGCTCCGTTGAGTCGGGCAGACGTTCTCAATGATTGGAACCCCAACATCCCCGAGCACACGGCCAGCTTCTCTTCTGTCTTTGATTTGGTGTCTATACCAAAACCCAGTGCACCCATCAACTTTTCCCACCTCAATGCACCATTCGAACCACATATCGCCGATACCATTCTCCCAACCCAAGTACGACTGGCACAAATAGCAGAGATGATACACGTTGCTTCGCTGCTACACGACGATGTCATAGATACCTCACCGCTCAGACGGGGTGTGCCATCTGGCCCTGCAAACTTTGGAAATAAGCTCAGTGTTCTCGGGGGAGACTTCTTACTAGGACGAGCTAGTGCCGCACTTTCGCGACTAGGAGAGAACGAGGTCGTCGAATTGGTTGCCAGCATCATTGCCAATCTAGTGGAAGGAGAAGTCATGCAGGTTAGAGAAGTACATGCACCCGAAACTTTGCTTTCAAAGGATACCATTATTGAGGATCAGGGAGGACGGGTCGGCCAGGAGAGATGGAACATGTACCTGAAAAAGACATACCTCAAGACTGCAAGTCTCATGGCAAAGACCGTGCGAGGCGCGGTCGTATTGGGCGGATCGCGGGAAGGAGAGCTATGGAAAGAAGTCGCCTACGCATATGGTCGCAATATCGGAATTGCATTCCAGGTCGGTGGCTTGTACCCACGATTAATTTCTTTACACCCACTCACCAAATCACAATAGCTCATTGACGATATGCTGGATTTCTCTGTCTCTGATGCGTCATTTGGCAAGCCGTCTGGCGGCGCGGACCTCCGGCTTGGCTTAGCCACCGCCCCAACACTGTATGCTTGGGAGGAATTTGAAGAGATGGGCCCACTCATTCAACGAAGATTCGAAAAGGAAGGAGACGTTGAACTGGTCAGTTATACTAACTTCTATTAGAAAATTCCGGTGCTAACTGTACAATAGGCCCGTCAAATTGTCGCAGCCTCACAAGGGGTCACCAGGACCAGGGAGCTGGCTGAACTGTACGCTTCCAAGGCACGAGAAGTGCTTGGTCACCTTCCAGATAGCGAGGCCAAGGAGGCCCTTCACGCCTTGACCGAAGCCGTGATCAAACGAAAGCACTAGTGCGGATTCGACCAAGTGTCGTGTGGGGACGTCATGCTGCTGGTTGCATAGTCGATCCTCCTATATTTTCCAGTCTATTAAGCGGCCTATGATAAACACCTGCTCATTACCATCGATTCATAATCCTTACTATAGCATTATGGACATAGTCTTCTTACGATCATGACAACTCATAGAAAAACGATACAGTATCCATTAAATGTCCATTGGGATAAGTGTCCTTGATCCATCGAAACTCTTCGAATCGAAAAGATACAGTAAATGAAGGAAAAGATATGAGAGATGCTACATATTATGAACCATTACTACCAAATCGACGCGAAATTGCACCCAAAGACTTGCGTACACGCCCCCACTTTTCTAATCTTGACCTCTCGGGGCTGGGTGGGTCATCGAGGACGATACGTTCGAGTGGCTTGTCATTTTCATAATCCCATGCTCGTGGAACATTCATGGGTTGGTCCAGGCGGATTGGCTGACGAAGTCCGAGGCTTGAACGAGAGGGGTCTATTGACCTGGAGTAAGGTGTGATTGAACCGTTGGATTCTCTGAACGGACTAGGATCCCTACTGCGTGGAGGAGGTATAGAAACAGTCAACTCATCCTCTATTGCTGTATAAGCACTAGGAAGGGTGTGGACCGCCTGTGTCATTTGGTCAAATTGGCGGATATTGATCTTTCTTGGAAATGTGTTTGCCGCAACGAGATTCTCGGACTGTATATAATATATCAATATAAAAGCATATTTGAGCAGAATACACCTACACCGCCAACCAAAAAACTGCGCTGCTCCTGTCTTATAATGTTCACGTTTACCGACATTGCCTGAGAGATGAGTAGGTCCCAACTATAGGGGGATAGATCCATTGAGTGACGATAAAGAGAAATTGTCTTAAGGTTCTTCAAGTATTTACCTCCACCCTTCGTCTCAAGAACGTTAAGAATGGCTTGGTAATGTCCAGATGATGCAGTGCAGGCGATATGTTCCATGGATAACGGGAGAGTGCGTATGAAATTGAAAGTGAGATCCTGGTCGTGTAATAGATAAAGTTCCTTCAAGTTGATGGCAGATTGTATAAGCGAACGGTCTCCACGGGGTACGCGTAAAGAGTGCAGATAGCGCCCATAATAAGCGGCGATTTCGCCTTCCTTGTCAT